CCTTGCCAACATTTGTCATTTCTGTTCCTTTTTTATGATAGCCATCCTCGTGGGTGTGAAACAGTATTCATGGTGGTTTTGATTTGCATTTCTCTAACGATTACCAATGTTAAACATCTTTGTTGCCATTTGTATATATTCTTTGGAGAAATGGCTGAGTCCTTTGCCCAGCCAGTTGATCTTTTTGCCTCTGCACCTTTCTTCCCGCGGTTGGAATTGAGCCTCATCAGGAGAGGGGAGGTGGCTGTGCAGAGTGGAAGCCTCACGTTCACTCTTCAATGATTCGTGCCATTCCCTCAGCCCAGTCGGCACCCACGGCCATGATGCTGTTTGAGTTCTCACCAAGCAGGAAAAAAGGATCAGCAAGTGCGTGGGATTACCCAGTGGTTGACGGCGGAGGCCGAGGGAGCCGCTCCCGGTCTCCTCTTGAAGCAGACAGGCCCTTCTCAGACACCCCACACTCTCTGGGTTTCCTTGACCACAAGTTTTATTTTAGCAAGTTACCATTTTTTCCTCCCAGGTACTAGGCTGTGTACCGAGTGGAGCCGTATTTGTAGAGCACCCCGGATGGCGCCTGGCATTTGTAGGTGCCCAGAGTCGGGCATCGTCTCTGCAGTGAGAGCCCACAGTTCTTGATCTGCAGCCCTGCCAGTCCTGGGCAGCGGGAAGGGACAGCCGTGCAGAGCCTCTGGCACTGACCGGGCACAGTGTGACTTCTCCTTGGGTGCTCACTCCTGGGCGAGAGCCCCTGGCTGTGCCCAGGTTTCAGGACAGATATCTGCGCCTGAATAATGGCAGGAGCAGCCGGGCAGTTGGCAGAATGATGTTCATGAGGCTTCACTGATGTTCATGAGGCTTCTCCAGTTTGGCCTCGAATCTGTGGTGGGGCCTGTCTTCAGGGCCCAGGAATGCTAGCCTACCTGTCTTTCCGCTGTGGATTTTCTTACTGAATGTCAAAACCCTTCAGTGTCACGGAAGAGAGATGAGGTCCCCATAGGCTGGCGGGGTCTCAAGCCAGAGGGAGGCAGGAGATGATGCCTCCACCAGGAAGGAAGTTCTTTCGGGAAGGTGCGCTCGTGGCCTGTATTCCTACGTGAGGGGTTGTTCCTTTCGGGGTAGGGTCCCCCAGCCCGCTGGGAACCTGAGGGCTGCGGATACTCTTCCTGGAAAGTGCACATGAAAGTTCGCACGTCATTTCAGGTGCAGGTTCCTCCCATCCACATGGAGGCTGGTTAGGAGATGGCTCTGCGGGGGCAGGAGCCGGGACTGGGGCGATCTGGGGACTGGCGGACGCCCTGCTAAGTGGGAGTTGGATGGCACCTACTGAGAGGACTGCGGGTCCCTGGGAGAAAAGGAATGTCTTATTTGGTCAAGTTTTATTTTATTATTTTATTTTTATTTACTTTTTGTTAATCTTCACCCGAGGATATTTTTTCCATTGATTTTTAGAGAGAGTGGAAGGGAGAGGGAGAGACAGAGAGAAACATTGATGTGAGAGAGACACATCAATTGGTTGCCTCCCACACGCACCCCAACCAGGGCCGGGGAATCTGTAACCAAGGTATGTGCCCTTGACAGGAATTGAACCCGGGACCTTTCAGTCTGTGGGCTGATGCTCTATGCACTGAGCCAAACTGACTAGGGCTCATTTGGTCAAGTTTTAAATACTAAATGTAAGGGGGTGCTGACACCTGAACTTTGTGGCTGGGGTCAGCCTGGCCACCACGCAGCCTCGCTCCTGCTCGCCGGGCCGGTCCCTACCACCGCTAAGGAGCATGCTTTGTCTTTCTCTTTCCAGAAACGGCCCCCACGTCTGCATACTCATCTCCTGCCCGGAGTCTCGGGGACACAGGGATCACGCCTCTGTCCCCCTCCCATATCGTGGTAAGACATGTGTACATGTGTGTGGGAGTGTGTGCTCATTATCTTGGCTTTGTGGGTCTGTTCGCATGAGGAGGCAGCTGAGCAGCCCGTCATGTTCCTGGGTGGAGATTAAGTGGTCCTGGTACCAGCCGTGTGAGCCCTCCCGAGTCCTGGTCCCACTCTGGGCCTGTGTGGCTGGTGCCATTGGAGCCAGTGGCCTGGGTGGCAGCGTGGGCAGGCAGGTGGGGGCAGCCCTGAGGGGACAGGACTCATCAGGGTCATGCGTGGTTATGGCAGGACCCGGCAGGGCCCCTGGCATGTGGAGCCCTGCTCCCAGGCCTGACACACGGAGCAGGTGGAGTGGTCACCTGGGAGGTGCACGGACCCAGCTGGGAAAGCCCTTGGGGCAGTGGCTGCGGGTCTGCACGGGGCCTGGGGAAGAACAGTGGGAGGAAGGCTGTCACTCAGAACCACTGGGCTCCGGCCCTGGTGGTGGTGTCCGTAATAGCCACGCGCATGCACAGTTGTTGATAAAGGGGAGTGGTGGCAAGCTGTGGGCTTGGCCCTTCACTTAGGGGCGCCTCCCTGAGCTGAGGCTGGCCTACCCTCTCCCCAGGGCTTGAGCCAGACAGCGACTGTCCTGGGCAGTGGGTGTACAGCGGGGCAGGGTGGGACCACCTGGGGCATCTTCCTGAAAGCCAGGCGTGGCGGACCCCCTCCCCAATACCTTACTCGGTGCCTCTGCAGAACGATGCCGACTCGAGCGTCTCGGAGCAGCAGACGTTTCTCGTGGTGGTGGCCATCGACTTTGGGACCACGTCTAGCGGCTACGCCTACAGCTTCACCAAGGAGCCGGAGTGCATTCACGTGATGAGGCGAGTGCTTGGGTGGGCAGGCGCAGGCGCTGGGTCCTGGACTCTGGCCCAGCTTGGCCCAAACTCACTGTGCCACTCGGGGCAGCCACTCTGGTCTCTGGGCTGCAGGGTCGTGGTCCGTGACAGTGTTGGTTTATTCTGACTAGTTGGTCTGGGAAGGGCATGGCTGGTGCGTTTGAAACCTGTCCCAGTGACTCCGGCGTGCAGCCTTGGGGGTGAGGTGCCCACTTACAGGTGTCTGTGTTGGACACTTACTGTGGGAGCTTAGGCAATTGCTAAACCTTCTAACCCTCAGTTCCCTCATCTGTGAAATGGGGACACTGACCATACCTGCCTCGCAGGGTGTGCGTGCAGACGAAGTGAGACTTCCTGTCAATGTAAGCGGGGAGGTGCCAGCTCTTCCAGGTGCGGAAGTGTCACGGGTGACGTGACCAGAGCAGAAAGCACCATGCCTGAGCAGAAGCAGAGCGGGGAATGGCAGCCAAGTGAGGGGTCACCTGAAGTTGCCCTGGGTCTCCTGGGGCGCGCTCTCAGGCCACTCTCTGTGTCCACCCCGTGCTCACAGTGGCCGGCACACTCTGGTGCCCACCGTGTCCACACGTGACCGGCTGTCTGTGAAGATTCTGGTCTGTCCAGCACCAAGGCCTGCTCCCCTGGTCGGGGCCTGGCCTTCCCGCAGTCTTCAGCCCCCGAAGCTTTGGGAGCCAGGGACTGATCACCCCAATTTTCCAAAGCCAATATGGCTCTGAAGATACATTGTGATTGGCCGTTCCCTTCGCTGGTAGTTGTGGACTTTAGTTATCGCTCCGGGGTAAGATTTTAGGCATTTTTTTAAAAGTGCGGTTGACAAGACAAGTTGTAATAAAAGTAATCCCCACCCGGTTTGGGTTAGGCCCCGCCTTTCCTCTGGAAAAGCAGCTGTGACTCAGCTAAGGGACCCGCACCAGGAGGCTCCGGAGACCCGTGGTGTCACCTCATCTCTAGGAGACCCCGAGGCAGTGCGGCCTGTTGAGCCAGGATCCTGCCTCCGATTGGCCAGACAGGCGTAGGGTCTGCCTGCTCCGCCGTCTCCGAGACGGAAGCCCCGAGTGGAAAGAGCACATGTTAAAAGCTGGAATCAATGCTGGTCAGTGTCTCCGCAGTTGTCTTAAATGTTATTTCCAGGAGGTGGTCATGCAGTGAAAGCGGGGGAAAGAGCAGACATAACTTGCTGGGGAGGAACCTCCTAAAACATGGGCCGCGTCCAGGGCCTCAGAGATGTCATCTTAGTTGTAGGATTTGGAAGGAGGTTCCTCCTGAATTTTACTTCAATCAGAACATAGGACATAACCATGGGACAGATGGATGGAGCTGTGAAGGAGAAGGTTAACTTACTGTATTTCAGTAGGAACGAAGGAATACACATGGAGGGGAACGCTCGGGCGGTCGTTTCTGACACGAGTGTCCTGTTGACAGTAATGGGAAGCCCTTTGTGAAAGGTGGTGTGTGGGTGCTCCCCTGGCCAGTGCCCAGTGCCCAGTGCCCAGTGTCAGCCCAGGATGGTGATCAGCCCTGTGTCTCGGGGGTCACAGCGACTGTCCTGGGCAGTGGGTGTACAGCGGGGCAGGGTGGGACCACCTGGGGCATCTTCCTGAAAGCCAGGTGTGGCGGACCCCCTCCCCAATACCTTACTCGGTGCCTCTGCAGAACGATGCCGACTCGAGCGTCTCGGAGCAGCAGACGTTTCTCGTGGTGGTGGCCATCGACTTTGGGACCACGTCTAGCGGCTACGCCTACAGCTTCACCAAGGAGCCGGAGTGCATTCACGTGATGAGGCGAGTGCTTGGGTGGGCAAGCGCAGGCGCTGGGTCCTGGACTCTGGCCCAGCTCGGCCCAAACTCACTGTGCCACTCGGGGCAGCCACTCTGGTCTCTGGGCTACAGGGTCGTGGTCCGTGACAATGTTGGTTTATTCTGACTAGTTGGTCTGGGAAGGGCATGGCTGGTGCGTTTGAAACCTGTCCCGGTGACTCCGGCGTGCAGCCTTGGGGGAGGGGTGCCCACTTACAGGTGTCTGTGTTGGACACTTACTGTGGGAGCTTAGGCAATTGCTAAACTTTCTAACCCTCAGTTCCCTCACCTATAAAATGGGGAGACTGACCATACCTGCCTCGCAGGGTGTGTGTGCAGACGAAGTGAGACTTCCTGTCAATGTAAGCGGGGAGGTGTCAGCTCTTCCGGGTGCGGAAGTGTCACGGGTGACGTGACCAGAGCAGAAAGCACCATGCCTGAGAGGAAGCAGAGCGGGGAATGGCAGCCAAGTGAGGGGTTACCTGAAGTTGTCCTGGGTCTCCTGGGGCGCGCTCTCAGGACACTCCCTGTGTCCACCGTGTCCACATGTGACCGGCACACTCTGGTGCCCACCGTGTCCACACGTGACCGGCTGTCTGTGAAGATTCTGGTCTGTCCAGCACCAAGGCCTGCTCCCCCGGTCAGGGCCTGGCCTTCCCGCAGTCTTCAGCCCCCGAAACTTTGGGAGCCAGGGACTGATCACCCCAATTTTCCAAAGCCAATATGGCTCTGAAGATACATTGTGATTGGCCGTTCCCTTCGCTGGTAGTTGTGGACTTTAGTTATCGCTCCGGGGTAAGATTTTAGGCATTTTTTTAAAAGTGCGGTTGACAAGACAAGTTGTAATAAAAGTAATCCCCACCCGGTTTGGGTTAGGCCCCGCCTTTCCTCTGGAAAAGCAGCTGTGACTCAGCTAAGGGACCCGCACCAGGAGGCTCCGGAGACTCGTGGTGTCACCTCATCTCTAGGAGACCCCGAGGCAGTGTGGCCTGTTGAGCCAGGATCCTGCCTCCGATTGGCCAGACAGGCGTAGGGTCTGCCTGCTCCGCCGTCTCCGAGACGGAAGC